CTCGAGCGGATGACGCAGCCTTTTCCATCTTCCCGATGCCCCATCCCCTTCTTTTCCCGAAGCTGTATTCGTGCGCGTGTATATGGATGAAGCCCCTACCCGAGAGGTATAGGTAAAGGGGTGGTAGCATACAGCGATGGCTCGACCCCGATTTCTGCATGCTCAGGAAATTTCATTTCCATTCCTCACGGCGATGGAAGGACGATGCCTGGTCTACTCTCGCTCGGATATATGCATGTGAATCCCGGAATGCGTCGACTCTCCGGGGAAAATTAACCCCCACCCCCTCCCTCTCTTTCTTTACGAACAACTACTTCGTTTTGCCGATGATTTCCGACGAGAATTCCTAGATCAGTGCGGAGGTGGTTTCCCGAAGCTCTGTCCTCTTTCGAGGTGGTCAAGGATGAAATGGACATTTTTCGAATGAACCGAAGGTGGATTATCATCGATCGCCATTACGCGGCTATTTTTCAAAAAAATTAATTCAATTACGCAAAGTCGAAACATTATAAAAATACCATTGGAGTTGCGAGTCTCCCTTGGCGAATTTATGCACGATTGCCGCGTGGGACTCGGGAAAAGAGAAGCGAACGAGAGGGAAATTTTTGGCACTCGCGCTTGGAAAATCTTATCGGGAAAACCACGCGTCTCCGAATGCCACCCCCCCCCCCGAAATCAAGTATTCACGCCCACCGAATTCCTTCCCTCTCGGTGCGCGTGTATTTTTTGGCGCTGTAAATAAAAATCACGCGGATCGAGGGTCATATTCTTACCGTACAATTTATCGACATCGAAATCATGAAAGATGCACGGTTCAATGTATACGCAAATATATGTTTATTTGAGGCCCAACATTTTTTTATGATAAAACGTACTCAGTGATGATTTTTTTTTTTTTTTTTAATATGATTCGAGTGGGGGGTAAGGTGGGCGACGCCCTGTAGTCATGAAAAAGCAAAAATTCCCCATATAACAATGTGAAATTACCGTGCAAAACAGTCGTTGGAGCAAACCGCGCTGCGGAAAATCTAATCCATCCGATAATTATTTACACGGCCGAGCGAGCGGTGCAAAAAGGAGGATACGACGATTATTATTCATCCGTCCGAAAGGACAAGAAGAAGCCCCTGTGGGCGGCCGTAGTGGCGTTTATCATCATTAATGCAACGCGACGCTGCCGAAGCTGCGCGTCTAGTTCAAACAGTTGAAAAGGGAGGGTACAACGAGCTTTCCGCCGGTGGAGGTGCACTCCCAGTGTTCCCCGACCAAGGCGTGAATAATTACCACGGCGGATCACAACTCGGGTATAATTGGTCCCCGTTGAGTTGAAAATTTTATTTTCCACCCACGAGTAGAGCTGGCTTGCATGATCCCTATGAGCTTACGACTCTTTTACGATTAGTTTGACACCTCGAGACATCAAGGATTCAGAAGAGCAAGTTTGCAGAGTGGGTGCTTTGTTTTTTTTTTTTTTTTTCTTTTTTCTACCTCCCAAGAAGTAAGAAACCCAGCCACGGACGGTCTTAATGCGGCGCTTTTATTTTACAGCCCTCGTACAAATGGCGAGCTCGCGCGGGCGAAAACGGTGATGCTGGCTGTTGTTTCAAATGGAGCTTTAGTTTGCCTTTTTGCCAGTGCTGCGTAGCACGTTGGAGTGTATTTCTTTTTTTTTTTTTTTTTTTTTTTTCACCTCATCGCTTACCGAGTATCCTTGGCTGTTTTGTCGATTAATTTGACAGTACATGCGAATCGTCGTGGTCATTGCATACCGCACATGCACGTAATTTGCCTTAATTTCAATCAATTTCCACTTTGGCGGGAAAGCCATCCCCCCCAACAGGTCTACCGATCATTATTATTATTACCCAAAAATAAACTAAAGCCTTGGTCCCCCAAAATAAACGTATCCATTATATGGATGTGATTACCATCTATCAACGCAGCAGAGCCCACCAAAAGCCGGTCGGACGATCCGATTAAGTGAGCCACGATCGACCGAGAGAGGGCCATCAAAATTCAATGAAACCGGCCAAACGAGTAGGCCATTAAAAACCATACTTTTATAATCTCCCTCCACCTCGTAAGAGGTTTGTTATATATATATACACGCGTCACTTGTCTCCTTCCTTTCATTTCGCATATGTTTTTCATTTCTCCCTCGCTTCCACTCCGGCGCAACCCGCGCTCTCAATAACCTCCCCCGGGACCCCGCGCCCCCTGTATTATTCCATTTTCGGATCTACCGAGCCGAAACTCCCCCGGCCCTCGTGGCTTTCCAGCTGTACGTGCGTATGATGAAACGCGGCCTCGGCCAAATAAAAAGCAAAAAAGGAGCCGGGGGTAAGGATCTCATTCATCGGAGAATAAGAAAAGACGGAGGCGCTCTTGCGAATCTCGTCCGCCATTATTTCCTGGATCTTTTGATCTGGGAGGAACAATGACGAGGGACCCCACTACTTACTCGCTATCACGGGGTAATTGGCTCTCGTTACACACCTAATAAACTGGGAGATTTTTAATTTTTGCTTTTTTAAAGCACCAACTCGTCCCCCGTTCCCCGTAAATGGGGTTAATTCCACGGCTATCTCGCTTAATTGTTCAACAAATTGAAACGCTGATTAATTGTATCGTAATTGCATTCCTCGCCCACTCGGGCAGTGCAAATATATATTCAGGTAGCCCCCAAGCTCGTGTGTATGTACGGAGAAAAATTCCGGGCAATCTGTACAAGGTTCCTACACAATCCACGAGCAAAGTGGGAGAAAGAAAAGAGCACAAGAGGCGAGCAACGGGGAAGAGAATCAGCAGCGGAAACAAAGAGCGTCGAGAGGACGGGAAAAAGTGGAAAAGCAGAAAAGCGACTCGCAGCAGTCCCGGCGAGTAGTCTCGAGCGACGTAAATAGGGTCGTTCGTTAAAAGTCCCCTTGGAAGAGTGTCAAGCCGTCGTCTCGCCATCTATGTCTTCCCCATCTCCTGGAACTCAAAAATTGGTCGCCCTCGTCCTTCCTGGCTGTCATATTCCCCGGCGTAATCGCCGTCAAAAATGTTTACCAAACGGAGGATCGATGACCGTCGGTGATTTATCCTTCCATGCCGCGGCAATGATGGCCCGCCGTTGCGGAGGGGGCGAGAACAGTTTGGCAGCCTACCAGAATACGTCTTGGCTTTTGATAGCGGATCCTCTGCTCCTTCTCCGCGATATGGTTTTTCGGGGAAAGGGTGGAAAAAAAAAAATAAATAATGCAGTATCCCGGCATTGGTGGCTCCGCTGCGATGGGTATTGTCCTCCGTGCCCCGCGACGTACTTTGGGCTCTTTTTTTCCGTCAGACCACTTCCAAGAGTCCTCGTTATTTAAGTTTCAACAAACTGAGAGTACAATTATTACAGCCAAATGGTTTGTCAAAAATGCATCGCTAGCGTCTTGCGATTCAATCATGGCCAAGAGGATCGTCCATTCGAGCACCAATTCGCGAGATCTTGTAATCGCCGAGTTTGACCAACACTTTCGAGGGGCTCATTTTTTCTTCCAAAACTTTTTCTCTGTTCCCATGAAAGTACACTTTGTTCTTTTTTTTTTTTTTTTTTTTTCATTACATTTTGAGACTTGAATATTTTGAGACGCAATTGTATTACTGCCAGGAACGGCGTTATATATTTCGTTANTAATAAATGATACAAAGATGTTTAATTTTTTTTGCTTTCCTATTGGGAGAAATTTTTTTCTGTTACATTTGCTACGATGCGTACCGAGCTGGAGCATTTTTTTTAGGATTTCAGTTTTCAAGATTATTTCTAGTCAATGTGAAGTAGGATAATTGTAGGGTCGAGGGGCTCATTTTTTCTTCCAAAACTTTTTCTCTGTTCCCATGAAAGTACACTTTGTTCTTTTTTTTTTTTTTTTTTTTTCATTACATTTTGAGACTTGAATATTTTGAGACGCAATTGTATTACTGCCAGGAACGGCGTTATATATTTCGTTACAGTGCGGAGTCAAATAAAATATTCATCAAGCGCTGCGACAGTTGTATTTGTACATTCATTTGTCCACCACATTTAATCTCAACACTGGATTGCAAGAAAATGGTCTGGTTGGCTTTTTGAACGCTCGAGGTTGACGGATACTTTTTTAGTATTTTTGGTAAAAGTTTAATGCATTGTTTGTGCTAAAACATTTTTTTTTTTTTTTTTTGCAATTACCACTTACAACACACTGCTTAACGAAAACAATCCATTACAATTTAAATTTAAAAAAATGCTTCACAATAGATTTTAACGTCTGAAATGCATTACACTAGTTTGTTGGAAACAAAATTTTTCCAAATATTGTGTCATAAACTGGTATAGTGATGAATAAAAAATTGTTTCACCAAAAAGTGTCCATTGATTCGTTCAAATAATTAAAAATGCAGAGCGATTTATGTACCTTTGGCACCAAAAATTCTTTACTCCTGCCCCCTGCCAAGCAACACCCCAACGTTAAAATATCCATCCTCACCATACGCACGTGCTCCGCCCAAAAGCCCTCGAGAGCCGTAAAATTGTACTATAACTAAACTCTTATCGGAGGCCCGTAAAAGTACGGACTCTCTCATTTGTTAATCAGAGCCGATACCGAATCCCCCGGAGTTCCCCTTTTAGCGCCACGCGTCCGTAAAAAAGCGCGCAAATCGCCGGAGCGTGTGCCCCTGACGGAAACGGCGATAAACCCGACGGACGGCTCGGTGGGCCGGAAGGTCGAGCAATTTCGCATTTTTCAACGCCGGTACGCGCGGATTTCGCTTGCGCCCGCAATCTTTTTAAGAGATTTCCTCTGTCGCCCGCGCTCTGGGGGGTTGATGATCGGATTAGCCCCCTTTTTTTTTGTCTCGTGCACATTTGCGTTTATTGTGTACACGCGGTGTTTAGCGCTGATTTTGTTTTCACCCATGATACTTTTTTCTTTTTTTTTTATTTTTTTTTTTTTTACGGTTGATAAGACAGAGTATAAAATAGGACTCACGATGCAGTACTCGGATGTTTTGGGACACTCCTGCAATTGTATGCCCGTGTAGTTGATGCAGGGGGTGATGCTGCCTACGCCGTCGTTGTACTGGCCGCACTTGTAGCAACTCAATCCTTGCACTACTCCTGTTAATCAGATTAAACACATTTTTTTCAAATAAATTAACAAAACAACACATCGTTAAATTTAACAAGTGATGTATAGGTTGGATGGTGTACTAACCATGCAGTACCAGTTTTCGACAAAAAAAATCGATAAACATAAAATAGATCTCAATTAAAATGTTGGTTGCTCGAGCTGGTGTGTGTAACAACGTAAATTATGAGGTAGAAAAATAAAATGCAATATTTTTACAAGCAAAAGTTATTTTGTTCTTATCGATTTACATACGGGAGCAGCCATGAAAAAAAAAAAAATAAATAAATAAAGAATTTTGGGAAGTGACAAAATTCCCCAGCCATCGGTCGGCAGCCGTCAATCTGATGACTCCTTTTTTTTCTCTCCCCCTCGCCAATCAGAGTGTCCACCTTTTTTTTTTGTTATTTTATCTCCCGTCGCTTTTTCAATTCGTTCCGGTTATTTAATTGCACGTCACAAAAAATATCCTCCCTCGCTGGACATTTTCGTTTCCACCGCTTCATCGGTCTTTTCCGGGATTCGATTGGAATTCGGAATTTTGCATACACTCAACCGGTACAACTGTATTTTTCACAAGTGCACGGACAAACCCTTTTTTTATCCTTCGCTTTACACCAGCTCTTTGTTTACCGATAAGCAATAAAAAGGGGGGGGGGGGTCTGACCTACAGCATCAGTCAGCACAATAAAAACGGGCGTTGGAGCATCGGTCAAATTTCAACGCTCCCGCGATCGTACATCTGCGCGACCTTCGTCTCTCTCTTTCTCTCCTTGTGGGGGAAAAAAAAAAAAAAAAAAAAAAAGCTGGACATTGACACCCGCCGGGAAGGTCGAAAGGGCCTGTCGATGATTTTTTGCCAAACTTTATGCGGGAGCTCGTAAAACCCCGCCACGCACCATTTCCCCTCCCCTACGCGTATGATGAATCACCGTGTACAACTTTCATTGTGGAAAAGTATCAAAGAGGGGCGATTATTTTTTGTTTTTCCCACTCGACGTTGCTTTGTACGCGCAAAACATGATTAATCAAATCGGCCGATCGACCGGTCGTTCGCAGATGACCCAAAGTTCGCGAAAAACGTGTTTACCCGCAAGAGTCGAGCGGTCGTCGATAAAACGTGGCGGCAGGGCGGAAAATGTAATACCGTGGCTTTGCACATATACACGTGTGTGTAAGCCTGGGTGTGGACAAAGTTGCTGACCAAGCGGTCTGGTAGACGAAATTGCTTGAATACACTGCTCCGGACGCTCGGCGAATAATGTGAATTCTTTGGCTGGGCTTTTTTTTTTCTCCCGAGCAATACATCGAGAGCAGAGTTGAGCTTTGATATTGGGTGCGTGTAGCACGAGGGTTATTGGGTGCACTGAGTGATGCTTGGGCGGTGGTAGCTTAGTGATTCTTACAGGGAATCATTTTTTATTCAGTTTTATAAGGCTTTTTACTCGGATGTGGTGTAATGTTAATTAATAAATGATACAAAGATGTTTAATTTTTTTTGCTTTCCTATTGGGAGAAATTTTTTTCTGTTACATTTGCTACGATGCGTACCGAGCTGGAGCATTTTTTTTAGGATTTCAGTTTTCAAGATTATTTCTAGTCAATGTGAAGTAGGATAATTGTAGGGAATCTAAAAAACCATTAGAATTAAAGAAAAAAATACATTTTTAATTGTTCGTAAATTCATAACTGTTGAGGAACCACGTAAGTGATTTTCAATGATTCATTTTACCCAATATCTATGGCTTCCTTCGAAAAATGAAAACTTTGAAAAGCTACTATTATAAACTTCGCACGCCCTTCCTGCATAACTTTTACTGGTTTCTAGAGAGTATACTTTAAATCAACTTCTTCGACCCTTTTACTTTTTCCAAGGTTTTATACCCCCCCCCCCCTTATATCCTTCGATCTGAGAAATAAAATCGATCGTGACCTTAACTGTGAAATAAATATTTCGATGAAGAAACAGTCATCTTGTATATACGAATCCTATATATATTATTCTCAAACCTCCTGCGTGAAAAATGAAAATTAAGTTAAATAAACAAGCAAGTTTTGCAAAATCACATCTGGCAAGTCTCGCGCAATTTCGCTCGGCAAATTAATCAAAAGCAATTTATCTCGAAACGCGAGGCGGGAATGTTCAAGTAGAAACAACCAGCGTGTGGTCAGACGCGCGCACTTTCTTCCTACCTTCTCAAAGGAAACCCACTCGGCAATAAATACACCGCGCCAAGCTTGCGTATATTATATCCTCAAACAAAGTAAACAAGCCCAACATGATTTCATTACGAATAACACACCAACATTATTCAAACACGCCAAGGTGAGGTAGGAAAAAAAAAAAAAAAAAAAGGATACGTGAAAACTCCTCGTTTTCATTTTCACGCGAGACCTTCCGCATATTTATAACGCCCACGTAAGAATCCATCGAGAGAAAAAGATACGATATAACGAACGTGTATACATGTACGTGGAAGGTGGACTCGCGCGTACCAACATCGAGGCCACGGTGCAGTGCCCACCGCATTCATGCCCGTGACGCCCGCGGGCGGAGATCCAGATTAGGCACGGCGACTCCTGCCTCTTGTCCCAACTTCATTCGTCAAGCTTGCCCTCATCCGCTGGCTTTTTTCCTTTTATTTCCTCCCCCCCTCGACCCTCATCTTCGCCATTATATTTTTTTTCTCCTCTTTCCACTCTCCAAGCCTCACGTGTATGGACCAAAATCTACATACGTACGAATCTCACTCTCGGATGCTTAATTATACCGTTCGAGCTCTTGGCATCGTTTCGCGGACTTTTTCCCATTGTTTTCGTCCTCTATTTTTCTTTTCTTTTCATTGATGCTGTGTGCTTTAATTACCTTATTTTTACACCTGGTTAGTCCTTTCCTTCTTGTCTTTGACGCAGTGCTAACGACGACGGGTAGCGCGGGAGTGCTCGAACCATAATCGCGAAGGCAAGGGCTGAAAACTGAAATTTGGGTTTTTTTGCTTCGCTCGTGCATTTTTGGAGCTCGTCCTTGATTGAAAAAAAAAAAAAAAAAAAAAACGCTTGCCACCCCGAATTTCTAATGAATTTCGACCGCTAGATTTGAGAATTTTTTCTCCTCGTCGGGAAAATCGAGAGGTTTCTTTTTTGCTCCCGTCTCGAAATACTTTAACGGGATTATTAGACTTGACGAGGATTTCGTACCGAACGTAAATGAAAAATGAACCTGTAAATAAATGGCCGCGAGTAGTGTTCGAAAACGCTACAGCGTCCCCTCTGGCGAACAGTGAGTGATAAAAAATTTAATTAAAAATACACAGCCCCTTAAAAAAAGGGGGCAACGTTTTCTCGGGAAAAAAAAACTCCTAGTGAATTTAATTAAATCATCTAAAAATCTTTGATTCGGAAGGAAAAAAAAAAAAAAAAAAACACCTGGAGGCCATCAACTGTAGTCGCGTAAAGTGCCGTGTCAACCATTTAATCCCGTCGAAAATTAATCAAACAATTCATTAGAGCGCAGCTACCCCTTTCCACCCGAGCGAGGACATTTCTGTGTCTTCTTGCACCAGCTCGTGGAAAAAGAAGCTGATAATAAAACTCGACGAGCGTTTCGCCACTGAGGGAAGAAGGAGGGGACTAGGGGGGGGGGCTCGCTTTTTTCCACGGCTTTCATTACGGCACTTTGAACTTCTTACCGAAGAGAAAAAGGGGCTCCTAATGGCGCCATTGTTTTGCGCATTGCGTTTTCCCATTCGCGAGAGTTGGCTCTTTTTTTTATTCTGTTTTTGTTTCTGCTCAGGAAGAATTACACCACAGACAAGTTTTGTCGAGCCACAGCGGACTGATCGCAAGGATATTGTAGTCATTTAAATACGCGTTAATAAAATATTTATTGTTGCTCGGAAGAGATTCGGGGTTTAATTGTTTGGAATTTGTTTAAAGCCGAAAGTAACTTTTAGTTTATTTTTTTTTAAATTTTTTCTTTCAAAAATGGAAACGGTGGAAAATCTCCCTTTTGACTTTACAATTTCTTGTTACAATAAACAAGACGAAACAAGCCTTGTGGTTCGAAAGGGAGATAAAAATACTTGAATCATGCACGAGTTTTAGTTTTTCAAGTGTCAAACAAAAAAGAAAGAAAAAACTTTCTTCCCCCAAGTCTACTGAATAACCGTAGGTACGCGGGAAAGAGTCGCGCAAGTGTCTCAAGTGGGAAAAAGTCGGGGACCAAGTGTAATCCCCCCAAGACGCATCGGCGTAAATATTTAACGAACCTTTCTGTGTCAGCAGTTCCTCTTGATAAAAAGAAAAAAAAAAAAAAAAAAAAAAAACAATCAATTTCCCAATAAAACACCCGCAGCCAGTGCTTGAAACAACCAGCAAACCCCCCGGGGGGAGCCGTGTCTCCTCCGATATACCAAGCCAATTCGCAAAGCACAGCTACACATCGAGAGCGAAAAAGCGAAAAAAGCAAACGCCATTCGCGAAACCGCTAGTCATAAAAGTGCCAACGATTTCATTTTCACCCCCTTGTTCCGGGACGCGTGAATGTTTGAAGGAAAAATATAATCGGTTCGTCTGTGCGGCCGTAAAAGCTCGAGCGAACGGTAGGAGAAACACCTCGAGAGTAGGTCAGACAATAAAAGCGAAAAAAAAAAATTTAAACCCCCAAGGATGTTTCGAACTCGTGACTTGGAATTTCGAAAAAGAAGGGCTCAAAGTTCAGCCTTAATTTATCGTAATTAACGCGATAACTCACGGTGAATGTATGCTGATTATCAAGGGAACTTCTTGCGCAAATGAACGTATGCATAAATCACTCGGAGAGAGGGGGAGTAATCATCGCGTCAGCCCATTGTTCTTTATTAATTTCATGATAAGCCCATCGTCGTAAGTTTCGCGGTGAGTTTACATTTACACATAAATTTCGGGAGATCTATTTGTTTGGCTTTTGCTATTAAGAGTTTTTTTTTTTTTTTTTCACTAGTAAAAGTAG